TTCTTTCTTTCTTTCTTTCTTTCTTTCTTTCTTTCTTTCTTTCTTTCTTCCTTTCTTTCTTTCTTCCTTTCTTCTTTCTTCTTTCATTTATTTTTTTTCTTTCTTTCCTTCTTTTTTCTTCTTGTTGCTTTTCTTGTTGTTGTTATTGTTCTTCTTCTTCTTCATCATCTTTGACTTTTGTTTTCTGCATGGTTTTTCTCCTCAGTAATCCTCCACAGGATCCTGAGAAGTCATAGAATTATGCAGGCACAGACTTGAAGCGCAGCTTCTTTTCCAACACTGTGGAAATGTGTGTGGGGTGAGGCCCTGTGCTCTCCCACAGAGCCCAGGCCTGGGAAAAGTGGCCTTCCAGGGTATCCATGTTGGATTTTTTTTTTCTTTCAATAAGTCAATTGGTTGACAATGTTAAGTGTATAGACTAAAAAAATCCATCTACAAGTTGATCATTTATTTATCTCTGGCCTCCATTTCTATCACTGCTCCTAAACTATGGCCTAGCTAAGAGATAAAACATGAGGCTTAGTAGTGCTGTAGACAGGAAGGTACATAATGCTTGAGAATGGTTATAACTAGGGGCAACATCCTGTCTGGACAAAGGCTTAAAGGCCCGTACCATTGGGCTGATGATAGATGGGTAGAATTCCACACTTTTAAGGGGGAGAAAAAATGATCCAGGTGGATAATTGGCACCTGTAAAGATCCAGGTGGGAACATAGATGATCCTGAGGCAGCAAAAAACATAAGTCTGGATAGAGCAGAGAATTGAGATACAGAAGTAGAAGAGATACCTGCAGCAGCATAGCATAAGAGGCACAGCCATTAATATAAAAATTCTAAGAAGATAAGGTAACTATGTAACCATCAAGGTATCAAACTCAACAAAATATAAAGTTGTAAATTGATAATCACAGTGTCAAAACACACATGTTTATACAAACAAAAGCAGAAATGTCTTCATGGATTTGCTCATTTCTTTGAGGTCTTGCAATCTATTACTAAGTAATCTGAACTGCATACTGTATTACTGTGGTATCAATTGTCGTATCTCCTTTGGCATTTTTAAGTTCAGCACCATTTGGTGAAACCCTTCTGGTCATAAATAATTCAGTCTCATGTTCCTAATAAAGCTTAAGATGTGACTACATTGAAACTCTTTGCAAAGCGCATATGACATCTACTTAAAGATGGGTTCTATAGATTTATTTCATTTGACATCTTCCATAAAGATGGATTTAATAGATTAAAAAGCTCATGATAAGGGTCTTGGGGAGGGTCTGATGTGGTCTCACCAACATAGACAGTGAAAAGGTCACCATATCCCCTCCCAGCCTTCCAGGCAGAAAACAGGTTATACATCTGTTCCTTTGAAGAAACAAAACTGTGTATCTGACATTCCTAGTTCCCCTAGTGCTTATCTGTAAGCCCAAGAACCTCAATGCCTTCCAGAGCTGTGAGCTGCCATGTGGATATTGTGAATCTAACCTGGGACCTCTGCCAGAGTAATGAGTGCTCTTAACTGCTGAGTCATCGCTCCAGCCCCTAATTTCTCTTTTATAATGTGCTGGGATAATAACTTAGGTAACCCCAAAATCTAAGAGATATATATGAGTTTGTTGCCTTCACAAAACCTACACAAGATTAAGTCAGTTAACATTCCGGCTTGAAGGGGGAAGGGATCATAGCTCTTACCTCTAGCTGGGGATCTATTGACAGTTGATGCCTGCTAGAAAAAGGGAGAATCCATTTTCTTTAGGGATGTGGAGCCCAGTAGATGCATACTTCAGTGAAGGGAGTAACACCCACGGATACATGGGCAGTTCAAACTGACTGTGGTTTTGTTTTCTTTCCTAAGAATACCAAATTGAGAGGGGATGGGGAATAAGGGGTTAGATCTGGGAGAGGCTGAGTGGAAGAGTGGGGGTGAATATGATCAAAATCCATTGTACGCATGCATACAATTCTCAAATTATTTAGAATAGTACTGTTTTCAAAAAGGTAATTGAGAAAGCCCAGGACTACAGACATGTTTTGCCTGTGTTTATAAGTGTTGAATATTAAAGATACAGTGTACATGTTTCAAGCATTTCCGATACAGATTCCCAGGTTTTCATTTGAAATATAATTTACTAGAGGAAAAAAAAAGGTTGGAAGCACTTGGAATCTTGCAGCTGGAACAGCTGGGGAAGCCTGGGAGCAACAAAATCTGGGTGTGAAAAGCCAGAACTGTCAGACAGAGAGAAACGTGTAACTTTCTTGGCAGGTACTCGACAGGAGAGAGTCCCTGCTCACTGACTAAACCCAATTACCCATGGAGGTAGCTTTGCATCCTGCCAAACTTCCAGAACAGAATTCAGGGAAAGACATGTTTCTCCTAATTCTAGATGATATTTGGGGAACAAGACCACAGTTTGATTTTTTTTTTCCTGTATCTTCTACTGTTCAACTGGTCATAACAAGGGCATGTGTTATATAAACAAGGAGGTTAGGACTTCATGGAATGCACTGTTATTATTTTTCAGCTGAAAACAGGCATTATTTGGGTGTGTTAAAATGCCCACCAAGCACTGAAGCCTGGCATCTCAGCTTCTCCAGCCTTCCCAGCACCACACAAGGCACACACTTGCTATGCTTTAAAGTGATTTCTCTAAACCAACCCAGTGTTGTCTATATTGGCCATTTTGACTAGAAATCCATTGATAGCCAGTTTTTCTTCACATGAACAAATAAAAAATTAAACCTAAATCTTCATTCAAGATAATATGATTCATTTGCTTTAAGATCAAATTTAAAAAAATCCTGAGAAAAACTCTCCTGAGTTAAACAAAACAAAACAGTATATATTTGAGGTGATGATGAAGCAGGAAAGATTTCTCTCTCCTTTGGAAGTCTTCCCCATTTATAATGTTCCATTCTATTAAATACATAAACACTTTTTGAAATATTCATCTAAAAGTCACAGAAGACAAAGTAAGAATTAAAAGAGTTCAATAGACTCTGTCTCACATTGTCTTTGTTCAACAAAGCTAGTATACTTGCATTTTCCAGTGGACTTGGAATTCAACATTTTAAAAGCAATCAAACTATTCATGTTGCTCTCTGGGGTTAGAGGATATGTTGTCTTAAATATTTGAAGAGCATCAAATCATAACCCAAATACTAGAATGATTACACTAACAATCCAACATTATATCTGATGTGTGATGAACATCTGTAAGAGATTACAAGACAGTTAAATCCCTATGGGTTGCAGGTCAACCAGCCCAACCTAAGATCCAATCTCAAAAACAAGATGGACAACATTTGGGTAACATTTGAGTCTGACTTTTATGTTCCACAAGCAGCACACACACACACACACACACACACACACACACACGTACCCACATGAACACAAACACATTAAACAAAACTGGTTTGTTGTTGTTGTTGTTGTTGTTTTTAATTTTGAAAGAACAGAAACTAACAAGAAAAAGAAAAACTGGGTTTCTTGTTTAAGTTTGGTGTGCCTTTCTGGGCACAGTCCAGCTTTGCTTCACCATCTGCGGTTGGAGAGCCTGCTCATGTTTTGGAGCCTCTTCTAAGTTGCCCTGCCAGCCCAGGAAGTCAGATGGTAGCTGCACACATTCTCCACCAGGCTGTCATTGCTGCCACAGCCCTTGCATATTTGTGTAATACGCAATATGAGGGATGTCACGAGTCCTATCTTGTTTTTTGTTTAGTTTGCTTTGTTTTCTCTTTCTCTACATGTTATCATCTGTACTTTTTCTCTCCCAAAGAATACAAGCTATCTTATGTTGTGGAGCCTTGGAGCCTTGACCTCATTAGAGGTGAGTATGTTCAACATCATTTTAGAGCATATCGTGACCTAATTCTTTTCCATCTACTTCTGCCCAGAACCTACATATCTCACCCTATCGGTTTTCCTAGGTGTCTGCTGTGTCTTCTCATGCAGTTTTCCCTTCTTTACCTCCTGTATAGCAGCCTAATATCAATCACTAGCACCACTGTTCCCTTCATCTTTCTATGTTTCCTCCCACAATAACCCATGCACACCATACTATTTGGGTCTCTTCTATTTCCAATCACATTTGGTACTTAAAGAACAACTATTCTGTAGTCAACTCACATAGTCTTGCACAGTGTGCTTACTGATCCACAGAGACTATAGTTGCAGACAGTACTCTACTTTAGTAGAGGGCTGGGGATACAACCTGGTGCCCTGAACAACAGACTAAAAGAAGAAGGCATCATCTCAAGCCTACCACAACCTATTCTTTCCTGAGTATTGTTCCACTAAAAGAAAAAGGGCAACCTAAACTGGAAAATAACAACAAAAATCTCAATCAATTTTCTGATTCTCGATAGACAGGGCCCAGTGTAAAAACATCAAGAACACATGAAAAACCAAGACAACTTGCTGAGTTTTGTATATTGTACTAAGTAGATTTGAAAAATAGTAAGTATGCTATTTTTTTTGGTCCCTAGGAAAAAAAATTGGTGCTAGCTAGTCGTGTTACAGCTCTGAGTGGAGTCAGAACACAGATTTTACGTACTCTCTTATGTATTATTAGTAATTGACTTGATAGAAGCTTAAAACTTGATGCCTACAGCAACAGTCTCATTACACATTTATCTATGAAAGTTCCCTGGAAACCTAAGATAAGAGACAAATATTTATTCTAGGTGACTAGAGTCTTAGTGGAAATTTAAACATGCTTGACCCCATGATGAGCAGAGGTCTCAGCAACACAAGAAGAAACAGTTCTTCTAGGATGAAAGGGACCCTGGAAGCCCATCTGAGAGATGCATGCAAGGTTTGATTACCAAGAACCCTGAACTACCCCACATTCTTGACATTTGGGGCTTCCCAATACATGTGAGGAAACATCTGGCCTCAAATTGACAGTCTTAAGAGAAATCTCCATTAAATACACATGACAGCCCCTAGCTCTAATTATTTATCCATCTACATGAGCCTATAACATGAAACATAATCTTCCCCTAGAATTCTTAGAATTAACTTCATTTTTTTCCTTTTTCCTTTTTGACTCATTATGCTGTAAGCATTAATGTTGCTGTATATTATTTCAAATATATGGTTGTTGTATTTGCAGGAGTTATTACCTGTTTATTTATTTTCCCTCTTGATGTTCATTTAAGATAAGATGGTTCACTAAGGGTAAGGCCCTATAAATGGTCATGGGTTGATTGCTAAAATGTAGTCATTTTGCTTTATTAGGGGAAATGCTTATTTCCACATTTCTTTCTGCAGATCACCAATGTCAAGTTATTGACTGTGAATGAAGATTTGTCTTCAGAAACTGCTTCAGAGCTAAACATGGGTCTTGGGATCCTAGCTGGTGCTG